TTTTTACAGGTTTAGTTAACTGATAAATAAAACAGGGATGGAAATATATTTGAAAATTTCTAGGTTCTGGATGCTAAGGAATTACAAGTATGCGGATAATCAAGAGTTACCTGCACTATTATGTGAATGGAAGCTATCGAATGTTGTTTTGAGTTATTTGCTTTATTTATTTATTTAATAGCAGAGTATCCGTCCTTTGTACGCGGTTGGCATATAGGTGTAAAATGCGTATTGCAGTTATACTCAAGCTTTGCGTTTTCAATGCGAGAGGACACAGTTTGATAGAATTTGGTTCTTTAAATTCACGGTATGCTATAGTATAAACTTATTAAATGCTATGTTGCTTCATAAACTATTAAAGCTCGAGTGGAACTTATAAATCTGAGTATAAAACGCGTTCTGAACTAAATCATCATTTTACTCTCTGTAGCATTCAATAAAATAAAAACTGCACATAACTTTATAACCATTTGACCTTTTTTTAAACATATCAGACATCTCTAGCTTGGAAAGAATATTTTTTAAACCGAATACGAGTTTTTTTAAATATAATTTTAATTATTATTATTTTTTATAGAAGGAATTGTAGTTAGTTTATTTTAAAATTATTAACAAGGTTTAGACTACTAGTAGGTACGTGTCGATTGTGACGGTATCGTGATCAGTACTGACATCGACTTGGAAAGGTGATACTTCATTCTACATTCATATTTAGTTAAAATACGATCCTAAGTGGGACAATATGAAAGATAAATAATATGTGGTTGAGAACAAAGCATCTTCTTTGCAATCAATTGTTTGTATAGGTTTTGCGCACAGTAATGTTACTTGACTTTTCAATAATTAAAACTAAATAGTTCTACAAAACCCCATATATTTTTTTAAATATAGAAAAATTATAATGAAAATAAAAGGAAGATTGTTTTTCAAGAAAAATAAAGCAATTATATTTTGAAATTATATTTAAATTTACTGTATATGAGAATGCATATTTAATTGAACGTTGACCGTGGAAGAAATAAAATCCCGTTCATCTAAAGTTATTTTTATTCCTCCAACCAATGACAGCTCAAAAAAGGCAAAAACCTGCACCAAATATTTCCAAACTTTGACGAAAGATATTGCGTGTGAACTTGTCACTATTTCTCACTTTTTAGTTATTATATAACTTTATTTTAACTTTATTGTATTATGTATTTATCATAGGCTAACAGCTGAAACCATATATCTAATTTTTTTCTTTTATTAAAATTTTAGATTTTGTTGTGTTTTGATTTGTTGCATTTTGCATTTAGGATCATGACTTGACTGCTATACAGTGGATAGCCTATACTTGAATGTTCTCTGGAGTGTATTCCAACTTAGGTTGGAGTTTGTGTATTGTTAGTTGTACAATATGTTAAGTTACAATGTTACAATGTGTTAAGTTTTTTCTCATTTGTGTACGAGATGAGTTTTTAGATGCTGAAACGTTGGGTAGAGTGTTTTCATGTGTGATGAAAAGTGTCTGTAATAACCCTTTAAGCAACATTAGCCTACCATCATTGTTGTATTTACATAAACATGGCATAATATTTAAAACTAATGTGATAGCTATGCCCAATCACTTTACTATTGCAATATGAGTTGGTAAAAGTATAATCCAATATACGTCCAAACAAGCTAATTAAACACGAAGAAAAGAGTGGAGATCTAGCTTTTCATATATAAGTTATATTGATCTTTATTTTCCTAAGACAAACCATATAACCCATTAAATATAAATGAATACTATTTTCTGTAAAAGACGAAAATTGTAAAAAGGACTTAACAAAATTACATACAAATACTTCGACTATAGTGCAAAGGAGTTGGTATACATTTACATTTGTTTATTGTTTTTTTTCAACTAATTTTAGGAGAAAAATAAATAACACATGTGTGACCAACTTTGCAATACTGGTTTGATTAACAAACGTTAAAATTGCACTCCCAAACAATTTACCCGTATTTATTTGTTTTTTAGAATTTTCAATTGTTTCTACGTTGATAAAACTATAGGTATGACATTAATAAATCCATGTATCATAACTAGAGATAATTTTATAATGTTACCTAAAATAACCAAACAAAATTATATTTTATATTACATTGTCCATAAGTGAGATTTAATTTTGTAACGTTTTCGTTATTACGTATAATAAAACATAACTAAAATATTGGTGATATCTTTGTCTGAAATTAATTCAATTAAATGTTTTGTCAAAACAGCTAACTATTTTTTCAAGAAATCTAACAAAAATTAATCATTCAATAACACCTTTTTGAAGACAAGCAAAACTCAACAGGGACAATAGTTTCGTTTTAACAAATATTATCTCCGTGGTGAAATTATTCAGTTACGTAACCTAATTTTTAACTGATGAACTATTAACCAACAAAGCCCGTATATTATTCTGAATGTGCGTTGCCTAGACAATTGATGTTCCTCAAGTGAGAAAATGTCAGATAATAGTTCTGTAAAAATATTAGTTTTATAGTATTATGTAACGTTATCAGCTAAATTATACGACTTTTAATTTTAGTGAAATTTTTTAGTATAGTCTAAGCCAAAACTAGAATCAATATTATTTGTACTCATACCTATACAAAATAGATGTGTATTATCAAACCTACTTATCTTTAAAAAAAAACTTAAGTAAGACAACAATTTAAATTAAACCATAAAAACTTGAAGTTTTTAACGTAACTTATCTTATTTACTAACTTTAAGTATAGGCACAAATCCAAATTCTTAAATTTCTTGAACAAGAGTGACAGTTTAATTAGTGGAAAATGGATAAATTTATACTCATTACGGGTCATGTAGGCATTAAATGATAATTATCTTTTTGAAGAAAAAGTGATATAATAACGATAATGTTTGTATTTCACACCTTAATTACTCTCCCAAGGAATCTACAATTTAATCGTGGAATTAGTAAATTTGTTGGGCAGTAAAATCGATTCTTGGTGACCTGCCAAATCGTAATGATTAATCCTGTTATTGCTTTCTCATTAGTTGCATGGATTGAAAAAAAAAAAACTATAGAATAATTTTTTTAATACTTTTTATTTAAATTAAGCTAAAAATTAATTTTACATGTCATGGTTTGAATATTAAACAGCATTTAATTAGCAAAACACTTTCGCTTGGAGCACTGTTGTTGGGGAGCGGCTGTAGCTGACAGTGAGCTAAGGCAGTGAGTGATGGTGTGTAGTGAGGGTTGGCTTGGAGACCTCCCTCGATGCGTAGGCAGGTTCCAGACAACAAAGGATGGCCCTGAACCTTCGCGAAGGCGGGAGAATGGGGTGGGGGCATAGTGGTGAGGCGTTGGGCGGTGGGGGTGTCGATGTGTGAGTGTGGGGGGGGGGTGTTGGGGCGGGTGGGGGTAGCATGAGTAAGCGGGAGGATCGTGAGTGAGCGGGAGGAGCAAGGGTTGGCTTGGAGACCTCCCACATAACTCGTGTGACGTCAGCCGCTCACTGCCGCTCAAGCCGCTCACTCCCGCCGGACCGGCAAAAATACCCTACTATGCTTCGCAATTGCTCGTATTCGAGCAACAGGTACACTAGTACATAGTAAAATACCATGGTGGAAGGAAAAAACATAGGTGTGCTATTCCCAAATATTCTGACGTCACTCGGATTGCAAACAAAAGATCACCTGATTGTAACTGTCAAATTAGTATATGTGTAAAATACTAGGATGTTCAAATTATTTTTTGAATCAATCTTTGTAATCTTTGATTTGTTTTAGAGCAATATAATTTGTTTTAACTAACAGCTGGTTAGTTATAAAAATGCCCTATAGAACTATGAGGTTATTTACTCTGATTTTGTCATTGATTATAGGAAATAGGCTAAGTAAGATTAGTAGACCACCGAGATAAGTAACACCATCGATGTGTACAAGTCGAGGCTCTGTACACGAGTTAAATAAAAAAGATATGCAAATTATTTCCTGCTCAACTTTTATGGAAAGGGTAGGAAAATCACAATTTTTACAGGTTTTAATTCATCTTGGGCAGCTTTTTGTTTACAATCAATATTTTTGAATGCTTGAACTTTGTTTGGATTAGGCCCGGAAATATTGATGTCATAAAGATGGAGATCAAGAATCCTCAGGAATACGATTTTAAATTACCACCACAACCTCAGACGGGTTTTATCCAAAGATATACAGATGAATGACATAGATTGAACACAGCGTGATCATTGGCCTAGGATACTGCAATAAGACTGACCGTCCTTTTATGAAATCTAAAAAGTTGTTTGGCGTGTGTTTAGTTGTGGTTACGTTTGGAGGCGCTGAATATTTTATAGTTTAAATAAATGGATATGGGGAATTACGATGTACATTGATTTAATGAGGGTGGTTTAGTTATCAAGGATATTAGAACTGATAACGGAATGGATAATAAACATAGACAATTAATTACGTCACTAGCTTTACTAGCGTGTTTACTTTTTAAATTAAACAATACGGGCTAACACCTCGTTTAAAACTGAAATTGAAAACTGGGTGTTCGTGCAGAGTGAGTTTTGTCATCAGGCGGCTGTAATGCAAAACGTGTTTTGTCCAACTGGCCAATGGTTTTGGTCACATGATCCTTTTTAATGCACCAATGTTGAAGGACAAGCAGATGAATTTGATGATGAGGAAGAGTGTGATTGCTTCCCCCTCAGATAGCAGACTATTTTTCGGCAAAGTTGCCTTTGATTGGTCGGGGCAAAGTTGTTTCTGCAACTTTGTCTTAACTTTTCATTCAGTTGCCATGGCAACTTTCTTGCCCCTAAAGTAATATAAGTTGCCGCATCTTTGCAGCAAGTTTGCACCAGCAAACATGTAGTTCGATAGTTAAGCGCGGGGAGCGCTGGTAGGCATATCAAAGTTCCATCGAACCCCATTCGTACTCGTTGACAGGGTCGACGCCATTTTGCAATTTGCATCATAATCATACTAACTTTCTGCTAATAAATAAGGTTTAGCTTTATTTTAGGCTACTTAACTTATTTTGTTTTTGTAAGTAAACTAAAGTGAACATTTAAAGTGGCTATTTGAAGATCTGCATTTGATTTGGCTATGTATTTGAAGATCTCCTTACAGTATCAGAAAATCCATCAACGAGCTGTGTGTTAAGGTAAGTGTTACCCTCGTACAACTTGCACCAAAGAAAATTGTCTAGTCTTGCTTAGTTGTTCATCTAAAAACAACTTTCATGTCCACATAACCACAGAAAACATACTACTATAACCAGTATGTTTTCTGTGACATAACTTATTTACATTAAGTTGGCGCAAGTTAAGTTTGAGTGAGTTTGTTAACACTCATTAGCTTCTTATACATACTGCGTGTTTTAAGTCAAGAGAATTATTATTAAAACGTTAAACATCCAAGATATTAACAAAGAATCATCTGCACTGCAAGTAAATATGTGTGTAGCCCAGTAGCTTTGCTATATAACTTAATGACCTAGAAGCTTAATGTATGTTGACTAGCCAATGAAATAGGCTAATGACCATGACAATAGTAATTCGGTTACTTTTCTAGTAGCATATTTATGTCTAGTAATAATTGTTATGTAAAGAAACCACAAAGCCTTGGTCTAGCATCTAGGCCTAGTCAATTGAATTGCTTCTAGGCCCATAGATATTTTAGATAGGTAGGCCTACCCTACCGGTAGTTTAGTCCTAGTAAGGCCTACGCAGAAGAACCTTGATATGGGCCTATAACTAAATCGATTGTTAAAACAGGCATAGGATCAGGCCTAACCAATATTTTCATATAACATAAATCCATATTAGCACTATTTACAATTGAAATTTTTCCTTTATGCTAATCTAAGCTTTTTTGTTGGAAACTATAATACACATGTTACTTTATCGTTATTTGTATCCTATTCTTTTCATATAGTTATCTATTTCAGCAATAAACCAATAAAGTTTTTGAATAATGACTCAGTTAGCCCTTAGTTGATTAACCAATTGTGCTGGATTGTCTAGGCCCAACACTAACAACTCCTACATAACATAGTTACAAAGCTAATTCCAAGGAAATAGCAAATAAACATTCACAATTCACTTTCATTCCATTCTCTAAATTACTCTCAGGCAAGTCTCATATGTCAATGCATCGCACTACAACTAACTGTACCAAGTCAGACATTATTTTGCCTTCCTTTCTTGATTTCAGTTGCTACACAAAGGGTATTCAAAGATGATTTCTCCGAGGCAACTACCAAGAAACATGTACCAATGTGGCTGAACCAAGCTAAAACCAGATTCAAAGGTAACTATTTTAACAGTTTATCATTTCATGATAGGCCCTATATCCGTATTATATGATCCAAATGAGTTGAAAACACATGTTATTTTTATTGATACTAAGAAAACGACCTGCGCACTAATGCTAAACCAATGTTGGAGGAGGTCGCTTTCTAAGCGGCCGAACTATAGTTGTTGTGCCCATGCTTTGCTTGGATAATGTGAATCTCTAAATCTACTGTGTAGGAAAACAGTTAGGCTGGTACCGCACACAGTTAGGCACACAGTTAGGCTATTCCACACCATTCAAATTATACAGGCAAATCTCAAATCGTACAAATTACTTATTTTAATGAAATCTTTTGTGCATTTGCATTATGTATAATATACTTTATACATATAGTTTTACTTCAAAAAATCAATAATTTTGGGTTTGTACGTATGACAGATTTTTTAAAGAACCACATTATTCACTTTTTTTGTTCTCTGCCAATTGAGAAGCATAGAATAGTGCCAAACTTATTGCATAATCTGGTTAAATTACCATAAAATATGGTCTTAAATTTAATAAGATTTAAAATTATAGACAATAATTAAGGTAATAAATAATTGTATTCGGAATTTGTTAAGAGATTATCTTTATCCTATTCTTGTTATTTATTTTTAGGACAGGAAGGAGAAATCAGCTGTAAAACAAGGAAGCCACTAAGCCACACTGAAGCTGTCTAACAAGAAGATGACATGTTTGAGGACTCTAAAGTGTGTTTTCTGCTCCTATATAAGAACCACTAACCACATATTTATGTTTCTATTTTGCATAAAAATTGAATACGGTACCTCAAAGATGAATCATTATATGTATAATTTAATTAATGTTAGTAAACTGCCTAGTGAGGTTTTGGTTTTTTAATTTAATAATTTCTGTAAAAACTAAAAATGGTGTTGACATAGTAAATGTGTTTAATAATTGACCTGACTATTTATTCTCTTTAAGTTTTTTATTCACCTATTATGAGTTTTTAATGGTCACATTAGAAAATGTCTTTCTCTTGGCTCATAAAAACCCTTTACTGACCGTGTTTTATAATATATTATTTATCTGAACATTCTTTTGTCACAAACTTAATAAAGAATAAATTATTTACAGCTATTTCACAACCCAGTTTGGAAAAGTTGCCACAAAAGAACCATAACAACTTTGTTGCAAATTCGGATGACAAACTTTGCCAACAACTTTGCCCCTATGAAACTAGAAAAGTTGCCGCAAAGCTGACACAACTTTTCATGTTTGCCATGACAACTTTGTTGCATTGTTGCATCTTTGTCATGATAACTTTGTTGCAAATTTGGATGACAACTTTGCAGGCAACTTTGCCCCCATGAAACTAGGAAAGTTGCCGCAAAGCTGACACAACTTTTCATGTTTGCCATGACAATTTTGTTGCAAACATTAAAAATTGTCATGGCAAATTTTCAAAAAGTTGCTGCAATTTTTTTTGCTATCTGCCCAGAGTTTAGAGCACTAAACAGCCAATTCTTAACCATTGTAATGTTTAATTTTTAAAATTAACATTAAATACATTTTTAATTCAAAACGTGTTTTGTCCCAATGCGTTCCATTCAAAACGTGTTTTATCCAAAAAGTCCATGCAAAACGTGTTTTGTCCAAACTTTATAACATTTTTTAAATGATTAAATTAATATATAACTAGATAAAACCTTATTGGGTACTTTTCTAGAAGTGCAGTCAACAAGTAAAAAAATCAATAAATACCTAGATAGAATCGATGGTTTAGAGTATTAGAGGTACTACACCGTTCCTAATACTAGGTTTACTTTGTGTGCAACCTGTTCCCAAACAGTTATAAAAGTAACTGGATTAGGAACGTAACGTAATGTGGCGCCATTTGAAATAGACAAGACGAAGACGTGTTGTGTGAATGTGAAAACAAAATGGCGATGGCGATTGGCGATTAATCAACCCCATATTCATGTTCGTCGGCACTACGTTAACGTTTACGTGAAATCTTCTAATTGTTACGTTGTGCTTTCTTCAATAACTCTTTGGGTATGTAAAATGTTTTGTTACATATTTTAGTATAAGTATATTTTGCAAAAGGTTTTGTTGGTTTAACTGTATGGTTAGAATTGTGTTAATGCGGTAGGCCTAGGCCTAGTTTTGTGGTGGCCTTAAGTAGCCTAACTTGTGTTAGGTTATTACACAATAACCTAATACAAGGGGTTCGGCAAACAATTTTTAAATAGTCTACCAAACATAGCTCACACTATTTAGGTTAGGATGTGTGGAATAGTGGGATTAACATCTTGCTAAAACATTAACATCTTGCCTACTTAACTATAAGCTAATTGGTGGCTCTAGATACCTCAATAAGTTACAACCATACCATCTTTTGTAGGCCTATCACAGTCACGCCTTAACCATTTCATCCCCATGACCAACCATGAACATGAACCATTCATTGATACACTGATGCCTATTTCCATATAAGGTTTCTCTTCATTTTACAAAAGCAATAACTTCCTAGCCTAAGTCAGTAACTTAACTTTAGTTATGCATTTTAGGTTAGGCTATTTGTTAAGGAGTTTTTTCATAGATGTGCCTTGGCCTAAGTTAATTTGTGCTCAGTTAAGATATGCCTAGCCTGGGCAGACCAATTAGTTCAAATGCCTGGTTTTTAAGTGCTGGTGGAAATTGTTTAGATTGGGGTGACCAAGCGTTCTATAGTAAGTTATATATCATTGGAAACTAGATTTTTACCTGAAAATAATGGTGCAAAAATTTTTCTGCTGCCACAAAAACTGAATTTACTACGATTTTTTAAAGTTTATTACTGTAATGCATCTTGTCGGCTGGTCTCTGTCGCCATAACTTTACTGTGAATTGACAAAGAGGACAAGGAGGTTTTAGAGGCATTTATATATTCAACTGAGCGTTGATTATGAACTACTTCAGTTCTTATTTAGACATGTGAGGTGGGTAGGTTGGGTGTTATGTGGACTCGTGACTGTATTAAGTGTTTTGAAGTTAGGTTAGATTAGGAAGGTAAAGTTTAGGTTATAATGAATCGAGTTGTTGATTTATATTATCTCCAGACTGTTTATGCACTTTGTTAAAAGTACTACTTACAGAATAAGTTAAATAATAATTTCAAAAATGCGCAGCAGTAGCCTATGCTGATTGTAGCCTATGTTACTTTGTAGCCTATGCTACTTTTGATGATGTGTTTTAATGATGTCTAATCCCGACCTATATTGACCGACGCTGGTTCTGAACCTCGACTTAGCGAAATTCCTGCAAACATAACCTCTATATAACGAACCTCGTTTTAACAAAACCCTTGATATAACGAATATTCAGTTCGGTCCCTTCAGATTCGTTATACTGAGGTTGGACTGTATATACAAATTTGAGCTAATGGTGTTTTTGGGCCTATGGGAACATCAAAATGGAAAAGTAAATTGGTCCCTGGCCTAGGTCTTACCGTGCCACTAAATTTAGGAAAATTTGCTAAAAGCCACCAAATTTATACAAAAAAGTATAGCCTACATGGAATAGAAGATATAGAGCCTACTTCCATGTTCTATTTCATGTACAGTACCGTCCAAATGTTTAAATGGAAAATATATCGACATTATTTTCATAACTTATACAATTTAATAAGTAAAAATCAGAGCGTGGGTTTAAACAAACAGTTGTGGTAGAATCTTTTAGTGAATTTCCCATAAATAGAGAATAAGCTATTCTGTAGTACTCATGGTAAGACCCGGACCCGGGACCGATTTACTTTTACGTATTGAAGTCCATAGAGGCCAAAACACCTTTTGTTCAAATTAATATATATAAATAAATATACAATTGTTTGGATAAAGGGCTACTATTATAAATATTTAAGAAAGCATACTAACATAGTACCCTGAAATTATTTTAAATTTTTTTAACTCTACATGTTTCGACCTTTAGGCCATTTACAAGAGTAACATATTTAACCTCACTTTAAACACAACAAATTGATAAATAAATCAATAATTTCGGGGGTTGAGTTAGTATGCTTTCTTTAATAGGTACCTATATATACCTATATATATATTTATATATGTGTCCGCTAGCGCAATAACTCGAGCAAAAATGATCCGATTTTGATGAGATTTGGTACAAACGTGTAAATCTACATCCATTCGAATGAGTTCGCGAACCAGCTTGATCGGACTATGGGAACGGGTGTTTATGGGGGGTTTTATGAGGTAAAAATTGGTTTTTCCCATTTTTTACCCTAAAAACAAAAATTTAGCAAATTCTTTCCAAACCACATTGTCGAACTTAAAAAAAAAATTGAAGCGTTACCATACGCCTAATGGTTACGGAGAAAATTCTAAAATATAGTAAATTTAAAATTCCCTTGTTATTCTTATCTAGAGAATTGTAAACTGTTGTAGTTTGCTTGTTTATGAACATATTTTGATCAAATTTGGAAAATGCATTTATTTCTTACTAAACTATTGACATTTTACAAAAAAAAAAAAAAAAAAAAAAAAACACCACTTCTTTACCATTGCTGTTCCAGCATAAGTACTCCTTAAACTAATTCTATATAAATAGGGAATAGATGTGATATTTTTAAGGAGACATTTTAGCGTAAATCCAATCAGGTAAATGGAAATTCGCTTAGTCTGCAGGTTTGCTGCAGTTATTTTATTTCCATAATCAACTAGGTAGGCCTACATAAGTAGTTTTAGAATAAATAATCTATTAATTGGAAAGTTAATATGCTAACTATAAATCTATAAATATGCTAAACCTACCATATATGGCAATATTTTACAATATTTACACAACTCAATATTTTAAATAGGTACCGGTAACTATAGTTTAACTAATAGTCACTAATCCCCTGAACTCGTAAGACGACGTTGACGTGACTGTGACCTCGGGAGACAATGATGTTGTCTACATGGCTGTGGTAGACAGTTAGGATTCATCCGCCATTGTGGAAACCACGATAATGTTCACACGACTGCGGGAGATGTTCATGATTTTGCCGCGATCGTGGAAGACGATGATGATGTTCCGTTATTCGGAGTTTTGCCGTGTCCGCAGGAGACAATGACGATGTCTAAACGACCGTGAGAAATATTTTTGACATAATAGAATTACAGAAAGTAAATAAAAGAAACGTCTTATAACACTTAAAACTAGGCTATTTACGCTTATACTGTTACTCACAAGACGGTAAATATACAAAAAAGATGATAAGTGGTGATCAATTTCGATTGGACACTCCAATCATCATCAGACCCAATAAGCGAATGACAAGAATCTTGAATGGCGTCCCTACTTATACCCTACCCTAGCGAAAAAAACATAAGAGAATCATTAAAAAAATACGTAGTGATACGTAGTTGTAATTGGGCCAACTAGACATCACTACGTACTTAGTGATATCATTAGGTAACGTAGTGATGTATGATCATTAGGTAACGTAGTGATGTCTAGTTGGCCCAATTACAACTACGTATCACTAGGTAATGTATGATCATTAGGTAACATAGTGATGTCTAGTTGGCCCAATTACCACTACGTATCACTAGGTAATGTTGAGATATCTTTTGCATAGTGATGTCTAATGATTTTGGCATGGTGGTGACAAATGATGTAATCAAATCTTGTCAGACATCACTTACTTATTGTCTTACTCACCCTAAGATAGTCAAGAAGATAACATGTTGCTCTTAAGTAACCCTTACCATGATCAGTGTCATGTAGGATAACATGTTGACCCTTACACAGACATAAACTTGTGATGATATAGCCTAATGTCCTAAAGTACTAACTTATAATCACTTTTATACTTACATGCTCTAAGGATTAAAAGGTGAAAAGATGTAGGCTATGTCAATACTCAGTCACGAAATAACAACTCATAACATAATTGCAACTGACACAGAACTGTAATAATTTGAGGTTATCTTTCTTGTAGTCTTGATGTTTATGTAGCTTCCATAGTTGTTTCACTAACGTACTCAACTATAACGAACTAGGTGGTTGTCACACATATTAGATCATTGTATTTTTTCCCTCTAATAATTTTGAATCTGATTGCAAATAAATACCAAAATAAATAAACTCGCCGAGGACGGCTACGGTTGCCTTGGATCCTTTCCAGTTCGGAGTCCACCCGTCTTTGACTTGACAGTTGAATTTGAATGTTGTCGTTTGATGGTCTGACTCTACAGTTTGTGCGCATGTAGCGTGCCAAGTCAAGTCCAAATTAGAGACTTAACATATTTTTAGTTAGAATTCATTCCTACTACTGGAACGTCAGTTATTAATAATAATATAATGTTACCTTCTAACGTTCCAAAATGGTGTAGTCTTACGACGCGTTTCGTCAACACAGTGACATCATCAGGTGATCCGCTATCGCTTCGTCTTGAACATTAACACAAAACACATATCACGAACACATAATTACTACATTTAAGGACCGATCGGTATTGTCGTCGCTGTGGCCACAACTCGCGTACGCACATGATTAATTCTGGGCGACGACTGCAGGATGGAGGTTTGTCTGTGGTGTACTTTGCACCATGACGTCATTGCTCTTCTCCAGGTGTATTACGGTGTCGAACAATGCATTTCTTTGAGTGTTAATTTTGTCATTCAGTACGTTGTCTGGTTCACATTGTACTGCTCTATAAATTTCGTAACACTCAAGTGTGGACATTAAATTACTTTTCTTGCACTTGTGTAATATTTGCAAATTGTCTGAGATAGAACTGTAATTATGTCCACTTTGTATAAGATGTTCAGCATAGTTCGATTTTTGGTTGACTGTTTTCTTGGGGAGGTGTTCTTTAAAACGGGTTTTAAATGATCTCCCTGTTTGGCCTATATAGTATTTTGGACAGTCATTGCAGTTTAATTTGTATATCCCACTGCTGTCGAATTTGTCACCAATACTTCCTTTTCTGGGGTTAATGAGATTTTCTAGTTTGTTGGAATTTTTGTAAGTAACTGTATAACCATGTTTTTTAAATATATTGTTGGTT